TATATGTGTATATGTAGTTGGGCTAACCCAGCGAGAACAGGTGGGGAAAACAAGACCTACACAGTAACCAAGGTGCTGGAAGGCCACACAGACTGGGTACGTGACGTGGCCTGGTCACCAAGCATCCTCTCCAAATCCTACATCGCCTCCGCTTCCCAAGATAAAACCGTCCGCATCTGGACGTCCGATCCGTCAAACCCCAATGAGTGGACCAGCCAGCATCTCGAGTTTGACTGTGTGTTATGGCGTGTCAGCTGGAGTCTGAGCGGGAACGTCCTGGCTATCAGTGGTGGAGATAATAAAGTCAGTTTGTGGAAGGAGAATTTGAAGGGGCAGTGGGAGAAGGTGAAGGATATTGAGGACTGAGTTTAGTTATAACAAGGGGGCTCTGTTTTGATCGTTTTCTCTTTCCCCTCTAATATGGCTGGGCGTACGTCTTATGTTCATATATTTATTTCCTATTGTGGTTTTCGTCCATGCGCGAACAAAGATTTGCTTGTTACCCATTTCTTCTCAAGCAGAGGGCATTGTTAAAAATCAAAAATTCATATGTCTGCGGGTTACATACCTTAGCTGAAAGGGAGAGATTAGCCATACGTTTACTTGAAAATCGCTTTATATTCCAAGGAAGAATAATTGATACGGATCGCCATTTACCATACCCCTCGGTATTCAAAATGCAGCCTTTCGCAAGGAAACCATCTACGAAGTAATAACAAGAAGAAGAAAAAAAGGATGAATGTGTTTTAGGGTAATTGATAGTTACCCTGATAACCACTCTTCCTTCAACCTCCTTCCCTAAATTTCACATCACCTCCAAGGGATCCTTTTTCCTTTACCGCCCATTTTTTAAAAAAAAAAAAAAAAAAAAAAAAAAAAAAAAAAAAAAAAAAAAATCAAACCGTCCAAAAAATAAACGGCCCCTCCTCCACCTCCGCCTCCGCCATCTTATTCCTCCACCTACCCATCATAATACCTCCCCCAGGTAGAATCACGCCCTCATACCCAAAGGCCCAAAGGAAATCCACCGTGGTCCAGCTCCAGGGCAACCACTCTTCCTCCTCACTCTCCCCTTCATTACCACTGTTAAATCCGTTTCCATTGCCATTGCCATCAACTGCAGAGACAAAAAATTCCGGGTTAATTTCATAGATCATAAAGCATATTCGACGCCAGCCAGGGATGCCAGCCTGGGCTGGGCAGGTTTCTGTGAAGCCCCGGATAGGGTGGGAGCGAGGGTTTTTGTTGTTGTTGTTGTTGTTGACGTTGGTGTTGCCATTAGCATAATAGTGATGGTGATGGCCATCGAGGGATTGGGTACCGCGGAAGTACGTACGGGATGGGGATTCGATGTAAGGGTTTATGGGATAGGCTTCGTTGAAGATGGGGAACCACACATTCATCGTGGTTGTGGAGATTTCAAGTAGCTTGTATTTGTAGATATTATAAGTTATCTTGTGCGTTTATGATGGGTTTTAAGTAAGACGTGTGAGAGATAGTTTTAGTTTCCTGAACTTGACTTTAATTCAGCGGGAGGAGAGAATATTACCAGTGCACAGTACTATCCCAGTGACTCGC